TTCTCCAACTTCTAATGTAAACTGATTCATTCAAATATTACTGATAAACATTGTAAATGTCAATTTTAGACATTTTATTTCTTCATTATATTGTTGGTTCACTTCTTTATTTTATTTTTTATTATTCTTTTACATTGTTCAGTACCATTAGAATGCATATGCAGACTAATATTTAATGTTAGCTTTGGTAATTTTCGTAAATACAGCGTATGCTTTTAGAATTCAATTAGAACACATTATTTAGGTGTTTGCCTTCTATAAACATTGCATGCGGTTCTGTGTACGTTCAATTCTCAAGTTTCCTATTCACATTTACTAGAAATGGAGTCTTTTGTATTCAGAGAGGGACTGTGCTGCCACTGTGTTAGTGAGTTAACTCTTTGATACTCTACAGTTTATTGCAGTGACTTGTGAAGCATGTGGTCATCTTAATGTAAACAACTACATCAGCTAAGTCTAAAAATGGGAACAATGAGACATCTATGTCTTTTGTGTCTGTTTTCATAAAATGACCACGACTGATCGTGCACAATTTGTTTCATGAGCCAATTATTAGGATAAAAATGCTCCAAAATTTTACATTCTGATATTCTAACGGGGTGCAGATGTAGAACCTCAAGGGACATTGATGCGTATCATTTTAGTTTACAGATAGTTTTAAAATGACCAATGAGGTTCTGGTTCAAGATGGCCAACCGAATCTCAGACATACAGTATTTATTTTCACTTTTTTTGATGTTTTGAGCATATGCACTCTGTTTTAATTTCACGAATTTGTCAAGGAAAAAATAAGTTTTATTTTTATTTTACATGTTCACATAGATTTAATTTAGCGGATTTTGCTGATCAGCGAAAACAGGGACCAGTGGAAACCCAGTGAATAATTAATGCGTAACTCATCTGCCACATTCAATAACCATCTTTGAATCCTTCTTATAAATCCGTATGTGTTCAAGTAAATGTACTTAAAGCTGACAAGATTAGGGTTAATTGTATGTAATAATACTACTAATAATAATAACTTTATTGCCTCCTTGTTAATAATTGTACATTGGGTTATAGCAAAAAGTGATATTTTATGAAATATGATAAATGTGATGTGTATATCACAGGCCCCATGTGCACATGTATTGCAATAATCTTTAAGAAAACATTCAGTGACACACACTGCATAGCTTTTCACATTACAGGCATTATGATGATGAAATCAAGACTTTATTTTGTTGCTATTTC